TTATCGTTAGCCATATACTGTCATGCCTTGTTGTCTGCATGAGATATGAGGATTACTCGTAATATTCATTTACTGATAGTACAGAAATAACGTGAGTTCAAGGATTTACACTCAGAGCAAAATATGTAAAACTATATTTTATTCGTTCTCCCTATTATAAATTTAATAAAATGACGTCAAATTTTGGATTAAAAAAGAAAAAAGATCAGGATGTACACAGTAAAATCTTATCATACCCATACTCTATTGATTCATAATGACTGAACATGGGCATGGGTTGGCAAAGGTTTAAATATGGTACAAGAAGGGTTCTGAATTAAATGAAGTTGTATTCACAGGGAAAAAAGAATTCATGCTACAAACCTTTATTGTAATGGAAGGAAAATTTGATTCAGTTATTTATTTAGTTTAAATAAATTGAATTGTAAATATCTAAATACACGTGAATATGTTGATGTATGATTTTGTGTATGAAATTGAAGAATTCAAACAAAGATGTAGATTTGAGATTGTATAAAACGTGTGAATAGTTTGTATTTCATAACACAACAAAAATACTTCATTGATTATTAACTAAATGCATAAAACAATAAAAATATACAGCCCACATGTGACATCTTTTTATCTTGTAGTTGGTATATAGCTTATTTAATATTTGTCTAAAAATTGAGTCCCAGAAGTCTATACATTTAGCAAGAGAAGCTACCCACATATTTAAACAGGAGAAGCTGTGAAATTGGCCAAAAAAGGTAACAATTTTACCCACAAATTTACAATGGAAGAAATTTGCACATATCTGCACAGATCTATGTATATGGGTAACAATTTTACCCATAAGACCTCCGTGATTATGGAGGCCATATGGAGGCTTGGTCCTTCGTAATCATTGAGGCTAAGCCTTGGCCTCCATAATACGGAGGTTTGGCCTCTATAATCATAGAGGCCTTGGCCTCCATGATTATGGATATAGTGGTTCCTATGCCTAATTTCATGTCACGAATTGTCTGGACTGTCTAGACACAGAGATAAGGTATTTTACTATCGATTTTACAATATTTATGCATGTATAGGCTATGAAGATATAATGTTTATTTCGAACTCTTAATAAAAGTTTCTCTGTTTTTAATTCTTAGATTCGTTCATAAATACGATATGATTTTTTGAATAATTTATGTAGATGTCTCTAGAATACATAATTTTTCCAGAGCAATGGTTTTCTGCCACAATTATCCAGTATCCAAATTTCGAATATCTTAAAAACTTTGTAGAATTTATAGATTCGAATCAGCAATCTTCATTGATCTGCAGTAATTTTTATGGATTTTTTTATGGAGTTTTCTACAAAGAAAAAAATGTACAATTTAGTAGTAGGTTGATGCAGGAATTTATATTAAGGCTTGTGAATTGTGGAAAAAATGATGAAATTTGGGTAAAGTTAGACGATCGTGTAGCCAGATTTGGTATGCAAGAATTTTGTCTTATTTCTAAATTACCTTACCATGAACCATCTATGGACATTGATGATACAAATGACAGTCTTAGAAATCGGTACTTTAATGGTACAAAACAAATCAGTATGAGAATGTTTTTTGAAGCATTCCATACGTGCGAACATGAAGAAGATAAATTGAAGTTTGGTTTAGTCATGTTGGTTGAATGTGTGTTGACACCCACTACAAGACAAATTGATTATAGAACTCTTGACATGGGTGAGCATCTGGATGAGTTCCTTACATATCCATGGGGTCGCAAAGCATATTTGATTTTGTTATATTCATTGAAAGCATCACAATTTGAAAGAATACAAAGGATACAACGGAATGAACAAACAGAATGCAAGTATACGTTACATGGGTATCCACTTACATTCCAAGTAATTAGTCTCTATTCTTGTATTGACTTATTATGTACAATGTATTCTCATAAAAAAATTTTATACATATAATATTTATTTTTAATTATCTTATAGTATTGGATATATGAAACATTTCCAAAGATCGAAAAGAAATTTGGATGTCGTAGACATAAAACACCATAGAGTCCAAGAATGTACAAGTGGAAACCCAACCAATTTGTAACTGAAAAAGAGATAAATGATTTTTTGTCTACTCGTAATGTATGTTTTTATGAATGTACAATCACTCTCACATTCAATTATCTTAAAATTAAATTAAACTCAAAATAAATGATTTTGGTATTTCATTTTGATTACAGATCCAAGTGATTGCTGTGCTATAGCCTAATGAAGAAGACTTACAATTTCCTTGGTGCAGAACTCTTTCATTGCCGTGGATAATGGACATAGTAGATTAGATGAAATTGTAAATGGAGTATTGGATAATGTAATACAACGAATTCCAGATAATATATATGTGCAAGAAACGATGATTCCCGGTACTTCTACATCTTCACCTGTATTTGGGTCTAGCTTTGTTCCCGGTGGCTCCAACTCCCTAAGTAAAGATAAAATGGAAGAATTGTTGGGTATCTATAGGCAACACATAGCATCAGACGTGTCTGGTGTATATAGAAACTTGAAGGCAGAATTTGCTGAAGAATCAAGAGCTCACTACCATGCGGTTCTTGAAAACCAAAAATAGTTATTTATTGAGCAAAAAAATGGCAAGAAGATTACATGCAACATCATTATCAGATAATTTTTGACAACCAAAGGCAATTTTTCCAACAGCAGCAAAAGTGGTAGAAAGATAGATACCAGAGTATGCAATCTTATATTGATACCAATTTAAGTTCAATGAGATCCCATGTCGATGAAGAAAATCAGGAAACAATGAACACATTATTTGATTGGAAATCAAACATCGAAGCTATCATAGGTTCCATACAATAAGATGTTCCTCTCGATACAAGTGTTGCTCCTTGCGATAAACCAAAGGAGATATCAACAGCTGAATAAACTGAGAGCTTTGAAAGGTCGATAAAATAGAAGAAAAACAAGGGAAAATAAATACAGTCTTCATCATCTTCAGGTCGATCTCTGGAAAACTATCATATGGAAAGATACATAAAAATTAGAAATTTTATATCGAAGAATCAATTTTTGTAACAAATCTAATTGTACTTGTATTAGCTCAAATGTTCAAGTTCTCTTTTGATTTATTTAAAATTAATTAAAATTATATCATATAGTACATACTTGGACGATAGCAGTAATAATGTCTTCGAAAGAGACATGTTGAAAACTCTAATGAATCAAACACAGGATAGAAATATTGCTGTAAGTAAAGTCTATGAATTACAATAGATTTTATTTCATAGTCGATATATATAATCTAATTTATATCTATTTATTTCATCAGAACATTGAGTTAGAGTTAAAACTATTGAGGCGGCTCATAAATGATGGTTGTCCGCTTGTTTCAAAAGAATATGCAATTATGGACTTCAAATTTGAAATGGAATGTGCTCGTCACATGATGTGGCATATTGACACAGGAATGGGAACCACCAGAGGTGAACCGGATGGAACTCTTTTGCAACGTTATGTGAATGGCAAAGCACCTATATTTAGTCGTCCTTGGATGAGATGCAAGTATATATTAGTTTCGTGCTCATATCCGGGCAATAGTTGGTACTTTTTCCTTGTCAATATTCTTGAATGGAAATTTCAAATATATGATTGCAGTAATAATGTCCACATACCGGATCAAGTAAAAGCACATACAAAAGCTTCATTGACTATGGTACAAGCATTATTGAAGACTACGACTTTTTCTTCTAAACGAGATATAAGGAAACATAGGAATAAACAAATGGAGCAGGAGATTATACCCTACCTAAACTGTGCAAACAATTGGTAAGCATTTAAGCGGCTTGTTTTTTGGCAGAATATTTAATTTCCTGGACTTAGTCATTTAATCTAACACTAAACTATTTCTTCCACAGGCCTAATTATGGAATTTTCGTGCGCAAATATATAGAATGCTTTGTTTTGGGATATCCAATTGAATCAATTTCGTCGAATAGGATAAGTATATATAGACGAAAGATTGTGGTAGATATTTGTAATCATGAATACTTTTTTCATCCCCGTAAGTCCTAATTGTAGTAGATAAACAGAATATATTGATTAGAATATTATGTAATAATATTGTGTTTTTTGTCCTTTCTTTTGGTATCTTGTCACATCAGTTTGTGTGTACATAAAATAAGACTACTTAGACCCAAATAAATAAAGTTATGTTGAACATGGAATATTATGAAGGACGTGTTTAAAGATAATGATCTGACCATTTTGTATGCACCATGTTGAAGAATAAATCGTACTAACAAGTAAAGTATAATTGAAACGCATAATAACATATAAGAATAACTAATCTTGTATAACTCAATGTTATTCTCTTTGACACAAGATGGATTAGCAGAGAAAATATCCTCTTTTAGGCTAACAATAGATTGGCAGTCCAATTAAGCAAAACTTGTAATTATAGACTTGTTAAGTAGTATGCATCAAATTCAAAATTTCAAGGTAGACTACATTTTTTGTTCAACAATTGTGTGATTTTTTTTTTCATCCATTGGCTTTATTGGAACTTTTATGTTTTCTCTTGTTCTTGCTCTAGATAAAGCAACATATAATTAACTGTGTGAAAAGACAGGTTCAGGGAAATATAGTCCAATGAAATCTAAAGTTTGACCTTGAGCTTTGTTAATGGTCATTGCAAAACAAGGATGAATGGAAAATTGAGTTCTCTTAAATGGTACCGAATGCTTATCTACTTCAAGTGGAATAAATGAAATTCTAGGTAAAAATATTCGCTTTCCACGATATTCACCTATTCCAATTTCGGCTAAAATAACATTTCGTTTAAATTCTTGACGAATAAGTTTGGTCTTATTACACAAACCTTCTGAAGGATTAATGTTTTTAAGCAACATAACAGGACAATTTCTTTTTAGTACATGTTCATGTGGAGGGATGCCACTTGGAGTTAGACTATTCAAAAAGTCATCACGAATAAATCCTTATGTCTTATCAATTACTTCATCAAAACAAAATACGTAAATATATCTCCTGTAATTTCTTTAACTGACATATTGTTTATTACATCTACATGTTCATTTTTTGGAGTCAAAATAACTCTGTTCATCATAATATTCAAATTGT